TACTATTACTATTAGTACTATTAATACTACTGGTGCTACTATTACTATTACTACTACTATTACTATTATTACTATTATTACTATTATTACTATTATTACTATTATTACTATTATCACTATTATTACTATTATTACTATTATTACTATTATTACTATTATTACTACTATTACCATTACTACTATTATTACTACTATTACTATTATTGCTATTATTACTACTATTATTACTATTACAGGTTTCGTCTTGGGGCTTCAGGAGTGGAATGGCTGAAGCTCAGTTTCTGGCAGCTTCGCTTAGGGGCTGAGGATTGTGGTTGGCATGTTGTTGGCTTAGGGTTTAGGGTTTAGGGTTTAGGGTTTAGGGTTTAAGGCTTCACAGCCTTACAAACCAAGAGACCGTTGTATTGGGGGGGGGGGGCTGTCTGATCAGTAGCAGGATGTCAAAAAAACATAACCCCCCACATGAGCATCTGAAGATTCCCACAAAAGTCTGCACAGATCCAATGAATGCCGTGAAAATATTAAGAGAGTTGGACAGCTCGCGTTCTGCTTGGCTAGGAGCGAACACGACATTAATTTTACTGTAATGCCCCTGGACCTATGAAAACACTCGTATATATTAATTCCTTAGGATGTTACTATAACAAAAACAAAAAATCCCAGGAAGACTTCTGGTTTATTTTGTCTATGAGGGTATGGGTTCCCTCGACTGTCCTCGCCATCCAACCATGGCACGATGGTGGCGGCGGAATGCTTTGCCGGTTCATCTTCGCAATTCGTGCTTAGGAAATAGTGTGCAAACCTGAGCTATCTGAGCGCTTATGGGGGTTAATATGGGGACTACCTAGGGNNAATGGGATTAAGGGTCCCTATTAAAAGTCCCACCTAAAGTCCCTAGAGTCTAGGATTTGGGTGTTTGTTATAAGCGTGGTCCTTTTCGGATGGGCTCAGCAAGCTTGGTGCTTGTCGGCAGAAGAAGTCTGAAGCTTCGGTTGCGGTGAGGTGGCTTATGGTAACAGTGGAATTCTTCCAAGGGCGGGCTATCATGAAGGACCGCAGAGGCTGCATATCAAAGGGACCGCTTACGAGGGAGTCCCAGACGACTGCCACCCCATTTGGGATTCTATGTAAGGCTGATCGTTTCGTAGGAGTAGACTATCCAGTTCTGCTGCCGCGGAAAACGAGAACCACCAACACAATATCGCCCTGCGCCCTGAGCCAGAACGGTTCATACACGAGGACCCCAACTTCCCAGCTGCAGCGTGGCGTGCTAAAGCCATGAGAGCGAAGCCACACAGTACTTTGAAGCGAATTCAGGGTTGTCTTTGACTTATGCCCTCTG